CTCCAAACACTTGTTTCCGTCCACCGCCCAAACATTGTTATAGCAACAGAGACATGGGCATCATTCTGTGTAGCTGAGTCCAAACTCTATATTCTAGGCTATGTCTGTATTTGGCTACCCCTCAGACTATTCGGCCGCTCCACTTCCGACCATCCGGCTTGGGCTGGTGCCGTCCTCAAAACCATAAGTTTTACCCCCTGGGACGTGACCGTAGCCATTCGAAGTGTTCGTCAAATCCATAGTTCAGGACAAGGCAGCGTCCCTGTCATCCTTCTCAAAGCTGAAGCGAATTAAATTTTTTTGGTCCCATCTGTGTAACATATTTAATCTTGCTCTTGGAAGATAGACCCCCTACTTTATAGAGGTAACTACAAATAATGTATATACCCAAGCACTGTAGATCGACGTCATTTGATGACTTTAGGCCAATCAATAAACTTCCCACATTCTTGAAGTTGTTGGAGACCTTGATCAAAAAAGATTATGCGTCACCTAACAGAGACCCTCACCTACTTAGTGCGGCTCAGTATGGGTTTCTCGAAAAGTATCCTGTTGCATATTGCAGCTCCCTTTCTTTGATCATGCGCTATCTCCATACTTACACATACCTGCATCTATACCTGAGGAAAGGAGGGGTTCAGGGTAGCGTACATGGTCCGCTATTATTTTGTCTTTTTGTCAATGATATTCCTGATTGCTTTCAGTATGATAGACCCCTTATGAACGCTGACGACTCAAAAGTTGCCTATCGATATAAATTGGCAAATCGCAACGCCGTGCTCGAGCTCAAAATAAATCTTCAGGACCTATCCCTAGTGGTGCTGCATATGGCGCTTTCCCCTTTCTTGGTTTAAATGCTGCCATATGGTTTTGACGACGATCGCCAGGCTCAACTAAGCATAGACGGTCAAAATATAAGCGTTCCCTTAAGTTGTAAAGGATCCGGGCGTATTATAGAAGTACGCCCTTATTGTCTCGAAAGCACGCCAAACAACCGGATTCATTCTCAGAAATGTTTAGATTCTTAAGGATTGAACTAGCCTTTATACTATGTACCTATCCCTATACCTATTCCTATAAAGGAAGTAAGCTGAACTCTGCTCCCTCTTTCATGGTAGGAGTCTTTTCTCACTGCTTCTCAGAGAGTGTTGAAGATTATTTTAAAATGATATGTTGGCACATATAAAACTATCTGCCTACCATACTAAGTATCTCCGATGCTCATGTGGTTGCTCATACAGAGCAGCAAGTATGCACTTTGAATTTTTTACCGAGGCCCTTCGGACCTAAGATATAAATTGATTTATTTTATTTACTGATAACTAAAAGACGTTTCTCGTCATAACACGGCAACCTGTCCCACCAAAACGTTGTGAACTTACGAACCTCGATCCCTTACAGAGGAGGCTATTTTACTGTTAACATTTTTAAACGGTCGTACCTTTCATCTTCTTCGCACTCTAGAGCGGCTCCATAATTTTCGGCGCACCGTTCACCGAGATGTCTTTTTTATCTCCTATGGCACATATAGTTGGATACCACCGGTTTTTTCTAATAAACGCCATATGAATCGGGAATAAGCAACCCGGAACTATCAAAAAGCAGCAACGCATCCCGTGTTTATGAGAGCTATCACTAGTTTTCTACATTCAGGACAACTTTCAAAAATGTTTTTCGCGTCGCCCTAGCGTCTCCTCGATCGACAACGGTGGTTGAAAGAGGCACTGCAGCTGATCGCAAAGGTAGTTGAAAGGTGTGGTACGCGACAGCCCAGCCTCGAGTGCCCGATCAAATTGACCGTCCGCCAGATGGGTAAGCACCAGGTAGCTGCGGTCTCCTATAGGGGCAGTATCGATGTGGTAGCGTAGGCGTCGTACCGTCAAAGGGGCTGAAGGATGGTGGAACTGGGACAACCGTATGGTAGGGGGGCGGCGGGTTGGTCACTGGCACTACCACCAGTGTAACGTCCGACCAACAGGAGGCGATATAACCTGGGTCAACCTTCTCGAAAACATCCCTAAATTCCCCTTTTCTCGGCCCGGGTTCGTAGTTGTTGTAATTACGAGGTTCCATAACTCAGACAGACAATCGATAAGATTCCAAATGGGAGTAGAAGGAAGATGTGAATTCACTGAGTTACAGGAAAGAAGCAGCAGAATCAGTATGCCAAGGTACTGGACAGTGTAGGGATGTCAGTTAATTCGGGTGGAGAAGTGGCGTTGGAGACGTCCACAGGCACGGGGATGTCCTCCTCTTCGCAGACTTGGACTGAAACAGAGGAAGGACAAAGCAAACACGTGCGCCAGATCCAGTACCGGAAAAAAAGTGACTTACCCGCCAAGGTTGCATTTAAACAACGAGATCAGTCCTGCCGGGCCGGCTGCTATAGTAGAATGTCTTTTCCACTCTGATGGCTTTCGTGTACTTTGAACCCTTTGCAAGACAACATGCTGAGGGCAATGGTGTTGCATCTGCAGCCCGCAAGCAGCTACTTCTTCAGCCAGCAGCGAGCAACCGTTTACCAACACACTGGTGCAGGATACCGAAAACATAACACTGAAGGGATACTGAGAACACTGTGTTCACGTGTCAACCCTTCCGCGTCGCGAACTTCAATCAATCAAGAGGCTACAGTTTTTTCTCCTGAAAAACCCCAGAAAGAAAGAACAGGTTGTTTTTTCCACTGTTAACTTGATCCATTACTATGCATATCTTGTGATCTTGCCTTTGTATAAATAAATAGGTGTCCTCAGGCTGTTGCAAGATCTGATTGGTTCGTAAGAGAAGGGAAATTAAAGGGTACTGCTGTCACAGGCCTGGTTCTCGCATACCCTTGAGGTTTTCTCATGGCTTCGATTGATTTTGCAAAATTTCGACAGCAGGTGTGATTAGTTTCAATATCTATATTTTTAGCATGAAAATGACTTTAAATTGGAGGAGTTGGATTCTAGTATAAGAGAGGTAAGGCATTCGAATTTCATCAATTTTCGTTTTTAATATACAGCACGTAATCATTTTGTACATTAAATCGAGTTAATGTATGCATGCACTACCATTTTAATGTACAGGGCTCATATAATCACTGCTTGTTAGGTGCAAGCCTATATTTAGAGCAGTGTCGCCACTTCAGATTGCGTTATGGTATCATTATATCATCGTGTGAGCTCCTGTTTTTACACCGTGGTAGCATCCGAGCGCAGTTGGGCAGTATTCGAACTCGAATACTGTAGTTTTCGTGTGCGTTTGCATGCATATAAGTGTCACTTTTGACTACTGTTTCCAAATAGTTAGACTCCCATGTAAAATCCAACAATGTCGCACTTTTATTACTAAATCATTTCGAATCTCTCATTAAATTTTTCCAGTCAAAAATTTTGAATGACCACTTGGTTTTTATAGTAATAAGGGTTGGGGGTATAACGCTCTTTAAAGAATCAGATGTTTATCTTCATGGACAGTTTTTTGCGCCACAAAAAATAGAAAGATCCGCGTACATTGTCCGAAGACAGTTTCACGCCTCTTAGTTGGTTTTAATGTATAATTGACGAGAAATTAGCCAGCAGGTACCTATTGGAATCGTAAATACTTAGCCGTCGAGCCTCCTTCTTCTAAACATGTTTCTGGCGTCGTGCATGTCTATCGCCTCTGACTTTTTAGTTCTTTTAGTGGTTCACTGATGGAGGAAGCTACGAGTCTCGTGTTTCGGTTAACTTTGGTCCTTTTTAATTTTTTTTCGGCGGATTAAATATTGTTGTTTCCTAAAATCGTGGATTCTCAGGAGGCGTTCTCTGAATGCAAATCTTATCTGGCCAGTCGTAATCACGAAAAACTGGCTGACTGCCTAGCCTGCCTTCGCGTACTCAGTAGAGACCGGACCTTGCAAAGCAAACTTGCTGAACCAGATGTTCTTACACATCTTATCCGGGAGGCTGGGCTTGACTTAACTCAGATCACAGATGATACTGGTTACGATAGCGAGTGTGCTGTGGAGTCCCTCAAATGCTTGTCAAATGTGGTCTTCCAAAACCCATTGGTTATCCCAACTCTCAAGTAACTTGTTCATGGGCCCCCTAACTTCTCTAAGATCGCATGGATGCTTCGACAGTCTAGTATCCCGATGTGAAAAGAATTCCAAAGAAGTACTTAATATGGAAATATTGGTAGGTTTACACTTCTATGTGTTTTACTTGCCTCTTACAAGCTCTTCGACCTCAAACTGCTTTTCCTGTTATCCGCCCTCGATCGGCAAGCAAGGTATGTGCGTTTGCACTGTTTAGATTTTTTTCAGGCTGGAAATTCTAACCAACAACTTTGCATCTGATAATTTTGCTGACATACTAAAGCAGATTACCAATATGGATTTTCTAAAATCACAAGTAGCTTTTGACTGTGCCCAAGAAATGCTTAAATTTCTTTTCAATCTTGGGTATGCGAAGAAAGAATTAGGACACAGCGAGGTAAGTTCGATCACATTATATTTTATCTATGTTCTGGTAATAGGTTACATACGAACTTACTTATCGCTCACTTACAACCATTGTACGTGATCTACTTGTCAAGCAAACATCTTCTCCAGTTATGCGTTTTGGACTTACAAGGTAGGTTGTACTGAGCGATATCACAGGCTCCGAGCTTGGTTTTTCACCCGCTTTCTTTACAGTCTTCCCTTTCGTCTGTGTTATCATTTAGAGCAACTTTTTGTCTCGTAGTTTACTGCTCTTACGTGTTCCTATCCACTATACGAGTTTTTGGGGCAGATGCATTTGTCCCTGGTAAACCTCGTTCTAAGTCGTTCCTTGCATGCCACTAATTCGTTTTTGCTTTCCACATTGTTTTACAGTCATTGCGTAAATT